CAAGTACACACACTGGACATGATGGAAACAAGTTACACCCCGCCCCGCCCCGCCCCCCAGCACCCGCACCGGCACCGGCACTCCCCTCAGTCACTCCCACTTCTTGTCTATCGACGCCAGGCTGTCCGCCTGTGTGGAACGGTCACCCCAGTAGTTCACCTGTGACTGCGACTGCGACTGCGGCTGCTTCCTCTCATCCCTCTCCCTCTCCCTCTCTCCCCTCTCCTTGTCATGCCGGTGCGTGTGCGTGCTGCCGTCTCTGTCTCTGTCTCTGCCTCTGCTGCTCGTGTGTGTGTCGTCGGGCGAGTCCATTGAGGGGATGAGAGCCATGAAGGATGGAGGCGCCTGGGAGGGCGGAGGGGGGGTGGGGGACCGGGTCGCCGTCCGCAGTGAGAACCGCGGCGTCAGCAGACGGAAGAACGGACCTGAGAGAGACAAACGAACGACGGAACGACACACAAGCATGGAGCCAGCCATTCTTGGTTGGTGTGTGGCTTGGCGAGTGCGAGTGGCTGACGTGGTGATGGTGTGGCGAGGTTCGAGACGGGGGAGAGCGCGGCAGGGATGGGCGGGGGCATGGTGGCCTCGAAGAAGAGGTCTTGCAGGAAGGTGGGCATGTTGGATACCCACGTCAGCACCCAGGCGTCCCACCCAACGGGATACCTGGTCGACTCGATCGACATCCACACACACGACGTCAGGTCAGATGTGGTCGGTGTATTGTGGGTGTGGGGGCCTGCCTGTGTCTGGGGTATCTGGAGGTGAGGGCTGCCTCCAGCGCTCGTACGGCGAGGGCAGGGTCGGCTCCCGCCTGGTCCACGTAAGACTTGAGCTGCATCGTGCTCGACTTGAGGCACACACACACACACACACAGACACACAGACACACACACACACACACACACAGACACACAGAGAGGCACACAATGCCGTCGTGTGCGTGTGAAGTCCGCTGACTGAATGTCAATTTCTCACTTGGACGAATTCTTTGCCGTGTGAAGACTTGACTTCGGCCTCGCTCTCCTCCCAGAGGGCCTCGGCCCGCTGCGGGCTGCAGCCCGTGTAGAGAGGGGTCTTCATCAAACCTACACACACACACACACACACCCCCACAAGCAGACAGTGCATCTGTGTGCGTCGGTGTGTGTGTCTTGTGTGTCGAGGACACCCACCTGGCTCGACGAGCACCACCTGGACGCCCCAGGGCTTCAGCTCTCGCCTCAGGCACTCGGCGAAGCCCTCTGTGGCATACTTGGAGGCGCTGTAGGCCGACAGGGCGGGCATGCCCACGCGGCCACATATCGACGACACCGTCACCACGCGGCCGTGCGCCTTTCGCAGCAGCGGCAGGAACGCCTGAAGAGTCGCACAGGGGCATGAGTGAGGGAAGATGCCCATCGTGTGGTTGGGGGGGGAGCCTCCCCTCTCTCTCTCTCTGACTCTCGCTGACTTTGGTGATCCGGACGTTGCCGAGGACGTTGACGTCGAAGTGCAGCTGCCACTCCTCAAATGGCACCATCTCGAAATAGCCGTTGCGCAACACACCTGTGTGTGGCACGTGGTGAGTGACCACACAAAACATGCGTCGGAGTATCACTCACACAATGAGCAGCTGATCTCTGTCTGTCCGTCTGTCTGTGTGTCTGTCTGTCCTACCGGCGTTGTTGACGAGTGCGAAGAGCCCCTGGGGGCAGAGAGAGTACACATAAGTGAGGGCATTGAGGATGGCCGACCGCTCCCTCACGTCGATGATCAAAGGGATCAGCCGCTCGGTCATCTTCATGGCCGACAGGTTCTCCACACCTGCTCAGCTCACACGCACACACAGGTGAGTGAGGTGGGCCGTGCCGTCGAAGGAAGCATCAGTGCACCCCCTTTCAGCGACCGACCTGTTTTGGTGAGGCAGGCAGCGAAAACCCTCCCCCATCCCACCTTCTCAAGCCGCAGAGCCAGCAGCTTACCGAAACCAGTGTCACACCCTGCAGCAAGGGCACACACCACACACAAGCTGTGTGCTGGCTTCTGTGGTGTGCCTGTCTGTGTCGCCTGTCCGCTCGCCTCACCTGTGATGAGAATGGCCTTATCTCTGAGGTCCTTTCTAGGCAGCCGCCAGAGCGACAGCAGGAGCCTTATGACGGCCATGAGGACGAGCAGCAACAAGCATTCGCCCAGGAAGACCAGGACCAGCAGCGACCAGTTGATCTTGAACCACGTCCACATGATATATAAGTACACACACACGCCCCGCCCCGCGACCTCCACGATGCCGTGGGAGGGCGGGGAGCCAACCAAAGGGCCGGCAGGCAGGCCGGGGCTCAGCGGAGCCGCAGATGAGAGACCACGTGCCTGGGAGGAAGGGACAGCTGCCGTCACAGAAGAGGGCTCGCTGCTGCCGGCAGATCAGCCGGTCACCGTCTGGTCCGCCTCACAACCACACCGCCTCGCGCAATCTGGAAAATTGCAGCAGGTGCTGGCTTGGCTTGTGTGCCACTCTCCTCAAATGTTCAGCCTCTCTTCGCCGGATTTTGCTTCTCTCAGAAACGCCAAGCTCGCAAATTGGTGTGAGCTCGCAGATCCCGGGCATTCGTGAAGGAAGGGAAGCAGCCGAATGGCGGCGTTGTACGAGGATGACGACCAGTTCTGGTGAGCTGCGATCTGCCAAACAAGCGAAATCACTCATGGCGTCACGACAACTCCTGTCTGTCTGCCTGTCTGTCTGTCTGGTGCAGGACGGACGACGACGAAGACGAAGAAGACAAAGAGGACGAGAATCAAGATGGCGGCGATGGAGAGCAGCCAGTCGACCAGAGAGATCAGCCGTCGCATCAGGAGGACAGTGACCCTCAAGAAGCAGCAGCAGCAGCCGCTGCTCCGCCACCAGGCCCACTAGATGGGCCTGCTGCCGCTGCTGCCGCTGCCGCAGCCGTGCCAAAGCCCAAAAGAATACGGAAGAAGTGAGATCACAGCAGCAGCGACTGCATTCGTGAGAGTTCCTGTGTGTGTGTGTGTGGCCACACAGGTGGGTGGTGGAGGAGAGCACCGACGTGAGTGACTTCGACGCGCTGCTGCCGCCGTCTGAGCGGGCGCTGGACTACCCCTTTGAGCTGGACACCTTCCAAAAGAGGGCCATCCTGAGGATCCACCAGTCGCAGCCCGTCTTCGTAAGCTAAACCAACCTGACACAGATGGACACAGATGCAGACACCAGACTCATCGACCGAAGAACTGCTTGCCTTGTCTGTGTGTCTGCAGGTCGCCGCGCACACATCAGCTGGAAGTGAGCAGTCTGCACATCTATAGATTGTGTGCAGTGCAGTGGAGTGAGTGCTGTTAATAGAAAGAAGTGTGTGCGTGTCACTGATGGATGGATCAGAGACGGCCGTGGCCGAGTACGCCATCTCGATGGCCCACAACGCGGGAAGGCGGGCCATATACACCTCACCCATCAAGGCGCTCAGCAACCAGGTCAACTGGCTTGGCACGGACGGACGGACGGACGGAGGGAGGGAGGGAGGGAGGCACTTTGTTGACTGTCACTCTCTCTGTGCGCTGTATGTGGGTGCAGAAGTACCGTGACTTCAACGCCAAGTTCCCGTCTGTGGGCATCATTACTGGCGACGTCAGGTCAGGTGCACTCATACTCATACACACCTGAACGCTTGTGTCTGTGTGTGTCAATGGTCCGCCCGTCAGCATCAACCAGGAGGCATCGTGTCTGATCATGACCACCGAGATCCTCAGGACCATGCTCTACAGGTAGCTAGGCAGGGGAGCCAGCTGCCCCAAGCCATGTTTCCGTGTGGTCTTATCCATCCATTTATCCATCCATCAGGGGCGATGACACCATCCAGGACCTGAGCGTGGTGGTGTTCGATGAGGTACGGAGCAGTGCCTGGGGAGGATGGCGCACCAACACCAACAAGCATTAGAAGGTGCCGCCACATCACATCTGGCTCGTCTCGTTTTGCCCCTCCCTCAGGCCCACTATGTGTCTGACGCCGAGCGTGGCGTCGTGTGGGAGGAGGTCATCATTCTGCTCCCCTCACACGTGCGTACGCAGCCACCCTTCCCACCCCACCAACTGAGAGGCAACGCAAGAATCCGATTCTCTGTGTGTGAGCTGATTCTCAGATCAACTTGCTGTTCCTCTCAGCCACGGTACACTCACACAGAGACACGGCAACTGGTTGTCATTCTCCTGCTTGCTTGTGTTGTCTTTGTCAGTGCCCCAACTTCCTGGACTTCGGCGACTGGTGGGTGTGCTGGACAGAAACGAGCGACAGCCAAGAACGAGTTGGTCACTCACTACTGGGTGCCTGTCGGTCGTCTGTGTGCCTTAGGATCGGTCGCACCAAGAAGCGGACGGTGTATGCGGTGTACACCAAGATGCGGCCCACGCCGCTGCGCCACTACCTCTACGTCCAGGGCAAACCCTTCCTCCTCATGGACAACAAATTCAGATCGGACGTACGTGACAAGACGTGGGCGACGGAAAGGCAAAGCGCCGCACCCCGGCATGGCACACTGTTTGTTTGTTTGTATGCCTTGTCTTCCTTCTTCCTGTTGGCCGTCCGTCAATCAGGCCTTCCTGCAGGCGCATCAGCACATGAGAAGCCTCAAGGAAAAGGACACCGCCGCAAGTAAATAATAAGAGAGACAGGGAGAGAGACGACAGACCTCTCCGTCTCTCTCTCTCTCTCTCTGTGTGTGTGTGTGTGTGTGTGTAGGCAAGGCAAGCGCCAAGGGCAAGGCTAAGGCGAAGCCCAAGGTGGTCAGGGCGTCCAACTACGTGGCGGGCGTCAAGACCGACACGCACCGGCTGCAGGCGCTGCTCAAGGAGCTCGAGAAGGAGCAGAAGCTCCCTGTGGTCGTCTTCGCCTTCAGGTGAAACCAATCACAACGAACACACACACGCTGACACACCTGTGTGTGTGTGTGTGTGTGTGGTGTGCAGCCGTCGCAAGTGTGAGTCGTATGCCTGTGGGATGCCCAACCTCGACCTGTTAGACTCGACGGTGAGTGACAGACGGGCAAGGAAGGCTTGAAAGAAAGGCGTACGTCTGTCTGTGTGGACGCCAATTAATGTGTGTGTGTGTGCAGAGGAAAAGCGAGATTCACGTCTTCGTGCAGGAGTCGCTCAAGAACCTCTCCGATGCCGACCGCGGCCTCAAGCAGATCCAAGCCACCGGTAGACCCTCCCCCCCCTCTGTCATGCCTTCTCTCTCCCCCCCTCTCTCTCTCTGTGTGTGTGTCTGTCAGTCGAGCTGCTCGGCCGTGGCCTGGGTGTGCACCACGGCGGGCTGCTGCCGATCGTCAAGGAGATGGTGGAGATCCTCTTCGCCCGTGGGCTGGTGCGCGTGTTGTTCGCCACGGAGACCTTCGCCATGGGGGTCAACATGCCGGCGAGGTCGGTGGTGTTCGCGTCGCTCAAGAAGCACGACGGCAGCAGACTGAGGATCCTAAAGTCCAGCGAATACACACAGATGGCGGTCAGGGTGCACTGCACACACAGAGGGAGGGAGGGACGGAGGGAGGGAGGGAGGACATTTTGTGTGTGGTCTGTCTCGGTCAGGGCCGTGCTGGAAGGCGGGGCTTGGACGAGTACGGCAGCGTCTTCATCTTCTGCGACCCACAGGAGATGCCCGACCAGAAGGTGCGGAAGCCACCTACACACACACACACTGACACACACACAGTGGACTTCCATGTGTGTCTGTCTGGGGTTTCATCAGGAGGTGACGACCATGATGATGGCACAGGCGACCCCTCTCCGCAGCAAGTTCAAGGTCTCCTACTCCATGCTGCTGCAGCTCGCCAAGTCGCCCCTGCTCAGTGTGCAGGACATGATTTCACAGAGCTACTCCGAGAGCGACAGATCAAGGGTGGGGTGCCTGTGCCAGCACACACACATACGAGGGATGGATGACCTCACACCGTGTGTGTGTGTGTGCGTGTGTGTGCGTGTAGAAGCTGCCGATTTATCGGCGTGACATCAAGCGGCGTCAGCAGGAGCTGGAGAGCATGCAGCCGATACAGTGCCTTCTCGGAGAGCCGACGTAGACACACACGGCACGGCACACAACACTCCACTCCCCGACTCAGCACAGCCCAGCAATGGCCTCGTGTGGGTAATGCTGTGTGTCGTGTGTGTCGGTCGATGAAGCATCGACGAGTACGTCAAGGCCAGCTCCCAGTTCGAGGGTGTCACCAGAAACCTCCACCGGTCAGCCAGCAGCCCACCAACCACACGCAGCGACGGACACGTAACCAATCACCCTCCCTCCCTCTCCCCCTTCTCTCTCTGCAGCAAGCTCTTCACGTCCAAAGCCTCCACGGACGTCTTCTGCCCCGGCCGCATCTGCATGTTCTCCTCCCTCTCGGCCTACCTCGGCGTCTCGTCACCCTGCTACGGCGCCCTCCTCTCGCTGGACTTCAAGCCCCTCTCGCAGAAGCATGATCCCGAATTCGAGGCGATTGTGCTGCTGCCCGAAGGGCCGGAATGGCCGCCACCTGCTGGTGGTGGTGGTGACGCAGCGAAGGGCAAGGGTGGTGGTGAGGACGGGGAGCGTGTGAAGGTGGTGGGTGAGGGGAGGCTGGTGTCTGTCGGGGTGGTGGAGGTGGGGAATGACGAGCATGAGCAGTTCTCCAGATGGGTTCACTGCAAGTGAGCGAGCGAAGGGAGGGAGGGAGGGAGGTGCATGTGTTGCTGGCTGCACCTCTCTCTGTCTGTGTCTCTGTGCCTCTGTGTCTGTGTCCCTGCCACGTGCTCAGGTACATTCCACTGCGGAAGGTGTCCAAGGTTACGGTAAGACGATTCCCACCGCACACAGGAGCAGCCGGCCATGTGATGTGTGCCGCGTCTACTTGTCAGGAGCTGGTGGTATCAGCCGCCGTGACCAGTGACGACGAAGACGCCGACGTCAGCATGGCGAGGCTCGGACAGGTAAGAGCGGAAAAAGGTGAAGAACAACACAACGGGAAGACAAGACACACTCAGCACCGACCGACGTGAGTGGGCCTTCGGTTCCGTTGCATCGTCCATCGTCCTTTTAGGAGGTGGCCCGCACCTGCACCGACCACGACTCGCCCGCCCGTGACGGCCTGCCGGCCCTCCAGATCTCCAAGCAGTTCAAGGAGATCGAGAACGAATTCTACGAGAACATCCTTAAGCAACGGTCAGTCAGCACATAATTAAGACGCGTTCGTTGGTGCTGCTTGGCTTGACGACCTGTGTGGCTCATACAGGGATCTGTCGAGGGCGCTTGCGGCCAACAAGTGCCACCGCTGCAAGCTGAAGGAGCCCCACTTCCAGCAAGCCAGCAGAAGGGATCAGGTGGGTGGGGCGCCGGGGGGGTGGGGTGAAGCGATGCGGTTGCGATGCATGGCTGCCGTCCTCTGTATCGGTCCAATCACTCTCACTCAGGTCGTCAGGGACATCGAGGAGTACTCCTTCTCCCGTAAGTCAACCAGACAGACAGACAGACAGACAGGCTGAAGCCGGCAGCACGTGTGTGTTGTGTGGCGGTGAGGTGACATGGTTTCTCTCTCTCATGTGGGTGTCTGCAGTCAACGACGAGTCGTTGTATCTGCTGCCGCTGCTGCAGTCCAAGATGGCGGTGCTGCGGAAACTGGGCTACATCGAAGAGGACCAAACACTCACACTCAAGGTATCTGTGTGTGTGCTCGACTCGAGAGTGGCCACATCACACCACGCACAGATGCCATGCCGCTGAGTGTCTGCCTGTCTGTCTGTCTCCTTGCTGTATTCAGGGCCGCTTTGCGTGTGAGGTAGTGACTTCAGACGAGGTGGGTGGGTCTGGCAGCACAGCACGGGGGCATCCGGCCATCCAGCCCTTCGTGAGATCTCCTGTCTGTCTCTGGGTGTGTGCGTCTGCGTGTGTGTGTGTGTGTGTTTTGAATGGCAGCTGACATTGGTAGAGGTGATAATGAGCGGCATCGCAACCAACCTAGAGCCGGCAGAGGTCGTCTCCATCCTCTCCAGGTACCCACCGTACCACCACTAACATGGCATATCGCGTCTTCGCCCATCTCTCTGTCTGTCTGTGTGTCTGTGTGTCAGCTTCATCTTTATGGAGAAGTGCGAGGACGAGCCAGAGGACCCCACGGACAACATGCGCCACGCGAAGCAAGTCGGCGGACAGCGCAACACACACACAGACACATACACACACACGTCTGACCCTTTGCCCATCATCCGTCCCTTCCTTGCTCTGTGGCCTCCACCAGGCTGTGGCGGATTGGCATCGCACGGTAGACGCCGCGCAGAAGGAGTGCCGTGTGCAGATGGAGGATCCCGTGACGGTCAACTTCGGCCTCACACAGGTGGTCTACGAGTGGGCTGTCGGCAAGACATTCGCCGAAATCATGACCTGCACCACTGTCCAGGTGCATGTGCACTCCACCACACACCACACACAGGCCCTTGATGACTGTGTGCAGGAGGGTTCCATCGTGCGTGCGATTCTGCGTCTGAACGAGTTGTGTAAGAAGATGAAGGCTGCGGCGGAGAGGCTGCTGGGCGACACTGCCTTGGCAGAGAAGCTCGAGCAGGCCGAGAGCTTCCTGTGCAGACCGCCGGTGTCCATCCCGTCGCTCTACCTGACATAGTCAGTGATATCACCACGTCAGTAGAGACAGACACGTCCGTAGCTAGCTAGCTTGCGTCGAAAGAGCATGGGCTTCGGTGACAGTGAGTGACTTCTGTGTAATGCCATCATCCACAACACGTTCTCACGGGAAACAGACTCCTTCTCATTCAAAACAGACTCGAGAATGGCCAGGAAGTCAATGAATTGAAGTCACTGCAATGTGGCTCTCTGACCAATCAACCGCCCGACCGCCACAGACAACCAAGCAACACATGCGTGCAGCCGGCACTGATGCTACTCTCAGGAGCCTTGCCACAGCCTCTCCATGAATCATTGACAATGAATGCGATGCATGAGCTCCGACAGGACGAATGAATGAACAGATGACATGCATCACGAAAATGTACATGTATGGGGTCTGACTATACAGTGGGCCTCGGATAAATGGGACCCTGCTTATATGGGAAAATCGTTATATGGGAAAATTAAATCCCATTTAACCAATGTACATTTTGTGCATTTTTCAAGCCCGTGACATTCATTCATTGTGAGCCGTCGCAATGACCTGTATGTGGTCCAGCGTGCCTCACTGATTACTGTGAATCAAATTTCACCGTCAAACAACCACAAACAGCCGAGATCGGGGCCGCTGAAGTGAGGCCAAGCAAGCACAAGAGAAGCAGCGAAGCAAACAAGCTGCGGAGCGGCATGAACGGCTTGCCTTTGAGCTTACAGTAGCATTTGCAGTGAAACAGCGAGACAAAAACCATCGTCAGACGAGAAGGAGGCCGCCTGCGGCCCTCCTCACCAGCGGAGTGAGGAGGGCTACTCAGAGTCTCGAGAGCTTCTCCGCCTCTCTCGAGAACCGTAGACATTATCATCGCACCGTCTGTTTCCCCTCTGCTCAGCCATGAGCTTCTTCTCCACGTTGTTCCACCTTCAAGCTTTCGACGGCGAATCATTCATTGAGTGATTTGAGTGATTTTGAGGAGAATGAGTGAATCATTTATCATTCGTGAGTGAGGGGGAGCGAGGCAGGCTATGCAGGCTATGGCAGAGGAGGATAGTGGTAAGCAGGTGAGAGGTGTGATGTGGTGAGTGACTGTCTCTGCATGATCCATGTGTGTTTTTGGACATTCCATCACTCAATCTGTCGATTGCTCGTCGCATTCCATCATTCATTCTCCAGTGAATCACTCCTGCTTGTCTGTCTCGCCCAAGCAACGCTCAAGCACTTGCTCTGCTCGCTCTCCTCATCCACGCCGCCGGCCGGGTTGCTTTTTTTTCTTTTTCCGGGCCAAGCTTGACGCCAGGCGAGTCAGGTGGCCTGCTGCGATGCACTGGTGACTCAGACGGACAAGCAGAAGGCGTGTGAATTGCCTCGCATAAATGGGACCTCGGATATATGGGAAACTCGTTATATGGGACACCCTGGACCGTGTCCCATTTATCCGAGGCCCACTGTAGTACGTAGGCCCCCACCCCGACCTTCATGTATACTGTGGTG